CTGGTTCGCATCTTCCGACTTTACCTCTTGTGTGAATCATCGGCACTGGTATTTGTCCTCTGTTCTGTTCAACTGATAAACATTAGTTAGTATCGCGGTTTCTTTAAACTCTTTCAGTGCGGAGCAGTTATGAAATTATTGTCTTCTTTCACATACATCTGTGTCTTAGGCTTTGCAAGCGCGCTTCATAATGCCGGTGTGACAGGTTCGGCCCCAGCTGCGGACGATTTGTCTTTCCTTGGTTTCGACAGTGATACCGAGCGCTGACCGTTGAGAAAGCAATTGCAAACTACTGAATGTAAAATGTGCCTGGAAAATCACAAACCAAAAAATGCTGGGGTTGGTTCTGCAATGTCCTGTAAAGAATACGCAGCTAAATTCTTTTTCTTGTTTCAAATCGCAGACAGCTGTATTTAGAAATCTTAAAATACTTCGGTCTGAACTAAAAGCTTTCGACACATAAACACTGTAGGACAGGAATAAACTAATACATCGGAGACAAAAGGATAATAATAATAAAAAATAACGCAAGTCGGTGATAGACGACAGCAAGCAACTATTGTATCACGTGATTAAGAAACTTATGGTGCGTTTTTTTTTTTAGGTACTAAAAGCGTTAAAGAATGTTCTTAGTATTAATATCACGCTCTGCCTTATAATGAATGTTCTTAGTGCTTTTTTTCCCGGCGATGCGCAGGGGTTGGCAGTACCGTCACCTTTTTAGGCATCTTTTTCCTTCACTACTGTAAGAGCTACTTTGTGTTGAGTAGCCAGGATTGTGTCTCAACTACAAGTAGCGTGACTATGGAGGGATGGTGGTAACAAAAGCATTTTCCCCATGCGTGCTTTCTAAGTGATTCCATGAGTATGCTTAAGAAGAAAGAGACAGGATGGATTCGAAGAAAATGGATGGAGTCGCTGGGGAAATCTCGTCTGAAAGGAATTTAAGTCTCATGTTTGTGCCAGGATATTTTGGGGTGAGAGGGAATGAACGAGCAGATTGGCTTGCCGGTAGTGCAGCGGTAGGTACAGGAAAATCAAAAGACTGGGCTGACATTCTCAGTGCTGTCAAGGAGGCAGGACGAAAATGATGATCCAGGAGACATTAAATTAGCAACACTCAAAAGACTACAAGAAGTTCAGGTCAAAAAAGTGTCGACAAAAATGAACACTATATAGGTAGCCAAAGAAGAATAGTAAACAAACACAGAACTGTGTTATCAGTCGTCACACGCTGAGGGATATCCTGAAGATGGGATCTGAGCGCTTATGGACTTGTCCATTGTGCAGTGCAGATAATCTGTTGATTGACTAATTAACTAACTAACTAACTAACTTGTGTTGAGTACAGAAAAATCATGAATGTTCTACTCATTTATATCACACAATTAAAAAAAAATTATGTTCTACATTTTTCATTTGTTATTTTGAGGGCGCTCTTTACCAAAGGCAAAGTAATCGACCTCAAAGCTGCATGGATTAGGCTCGCGGATAACGACGAGTCTTTGATGCTAATACGATTACGTGATCTCAGAGTGAATCAATGGATGCATCTCGGGTCCGTCTTCAGTGTCTAGATAGGAGACACTAATTAACTTCTCATAGTGACAGTCAGTAGAGCTACTTTTGGGTGGCTGCTGCATCGGAGGACTGAGCACGCAGGGGAATGCCCACAGTGCAGTGACGTCGATTGTGATAACATATAATTTACCACAGAAACAGAACTAAAACAGTAAGAAACGTTTTAAAGGTGTGCTTCGCATCGACTTCATGTATCTGTGCTTCTGTCCAGTACCGGACCCACCATAGCAACCGCAGTGCTCCCTGTAGGGTTTGCACGCTTGTTGCCCCGAACACCTACATAGCCGGGCACAAAGACGGATGTTAGACTAATCATTTATGATGCAGGTAGTGAAACAAGCCATTCCTGTATTGTAAAAGTAGCCGGGGTTTACGTGAGACGTGAGCGTATTCATTGAGTCACTAAGTATACACACGGGCCCAAAGTGAAAACTGTCATTGGATCAATCTGACCAGCTCCTATTGTTGCTGGCACCTTTCCGTCTGTCCAGACTACAGCGTTCTAGTGTGCTGTAGAGAGACAAGGGAATCACAGCTCATGGCGATACCAGTTAAGACTAAGGAGGACATTCACCCTTCTCTATAAAACAAAGCCTGGTCATTAATAATGTGGAGACCACATGTTGCCCATAGAACTTCATCCCTCGACCTGCTTCCTTAACCCCAAAGGAAAGATAAAACCGATACGGTTGGAACAGCATACTGTAGAAGCTGTGAGGTCAAAAAACCACTACTCTGCCCACCTGTCTGAGCTGTCCTCCTGGACCAGCTACCAGCCAGTGCTAAGGATCTGGCTTTCCTGCACTTACCCTTATCCGTAGGTAAAGCTCGTATTCTCCCCAGTGCACTACTACCAGTTTAAATAGCGACTGTGGTAGAGCTTACGGCGCATTCAGTAAGCCATACGCCAAATCTCCCAGCATTTCCTGCTGTTTGCATTTCACAGTGGATACAACCATCCCTTGTGAACATGCGTTGCTGATATTTTTAGTTTCCTTAGGGAAACGGTCAGGCCAGTTTGTGTTTGTTCAACTATTTAAATAGGAGTTCTTAGCCCCTGCTCGTCTTGTGTATTTTGTACATTACGTGTACATGACTTGTTACTGCTTTCTGTATTGTTTATGGTAAATGCTTCTTTTATTTTTAATGTAGTCATTTAATTATCTTGATGATTTTTACAGTGCATTTTTACCATTGATGCCGACACGTCTGTCCTAATGTGTTTCTGTGTTTTAAATGTACTAAAGTTTATTTCATCCATCTTCTTGATTCGCTCTTAAAAGAGCCGTTGGCGTGCTATGTTGTGGTTTACAGATAGGCTATGAAATCTGCACCTTTCGGCCAAATAGTTTGATTTTAGAAAACTCTTAGTGAGTCCCCATTTAAGACATGCTCGTTAAGGGAACCATGAGTAACCCCCACCGCCTTCCCTCATGCCCTCATATACGGCCTAATGATTCTCACAGGGATACAGTCTTCTTGTTCAATCCTTGCCAAAACAATAAAATATCCTCGTTAAACGCCATACTTCTGTGCTTACTATTAGGTATACTATACATAACAATATCGTTGCTGACATCATATTGGATTTCCAATCCATGTTAATACACACACACGCAGATACACTGCTTATCCAATCTCTTTCTGCCCTCAATACTCTCTTTCTGTCTTTTATTCTTTTTTCTCAGGTGGGGGGGGGGGGGGGGGGGGGGGGGGGGGGTTACGTGGTTTCGAGGCATGGTGTCTGCCTCAGTATTTCAGGATCATCGCCGGTGCTCCAGAGCCTATGCACTGTGCTAAGCTTTTTCGGACTCAGACTTGAGTTAGAAAAAAAAAACTAAGCACTTACGTGTTACTACCTGTGTGCCATGATGTTGATCCGGTGTTTAAACCTCAAACCAAGCGTTTCTTTTTTTCTTTCTCACACACACACACACACACACACTCTCTCTATCTCTTCCTCCCCCTCCCTTCCCCACTCTATCTGTCTCTCGCTCCCTTTGACACACGCATGTTTTTTTTTCAAAGAGTTGCTATGGAACTTTATAATTCTCTTTTCATTTCTGGTCTGGAATACCTCAGGGGATTATATCACAGCTTAATCATTGGAGTTAAAGTTGTAAAGGTAGTCGAACAGAAGACAGTACTGTTGGATTATATCACAGCTAAATCATTGGAGTTAAAGTTGTAAACGTAGTCGGACACAAGACAGTACTGTTGGATTATATCACAGCTAAATCATTGGAGTTAAAGTTGTAAATGTAGTCGGACACAAGACAGTACTGTTGCGGGGTGTGAATTATTAGGCCTGTACACATTCTGGACCATGACATGTGATGTGAATGGCAACTTCCCTTCCTTGTCGACTTTCTTTCGCGGAAAATTTTCTGAGCCCAGTTTAAAAAAAAAAATTATCAACCTGGACCAGTGTCTGAGTAGACAGTTGTCCTTTAAGTTAAAAGGTATAAGTTTAGCTGATATATGTTCTCTTTTTACGTTTGCTGTCCGTTACTCTCTTAACCATTTAATTATTGAGCTAGTGCATTAAAAAAAATAAGAAAGTGGTTACCTTTAAAAGTTAGCTGATAAAATTGTGCATATTTAACTTTAACGTTTTCCTTTTATTTTTCCTCTTTTTCTTCTTCTTCTTTTTCCTTTTTTTTTTCCTTCTTATTTTCTCTGCTCCTGGAATGCCTCGTGGCCTCAGGGCAGGAAGAAATCTCTGAAACCGACCCTTCTGATATTTCTGCGGTCCATCCTGCATGGTCTACCTCTGGGTCTGTTACCGTTATATCTGTATAACATTGCTCTCTGATGCCAAAGTATGTTATGCTAACAGATATCTTTGTTTCTTTTGTTGCAGATTGTTTAACACATTAATGGATTAAAAACCCGTTTATATCGATTCTGCCTGCTCGCCCCAGCAGAGGGATAGTTACTTGGTTCGAAGTAAATAGATTTTGTTTATCATTCATGATGCAGATATTTGATTAAAGGATGTCTGCATGTGAAATGCAACTGAGAAACTTCGGTTTGGTCTGGTTTCTTGTGTGGTGCAGTAGGATGTAAGCTACAAGCATGTCCAATGACACTGGCATAAACACAGGCTCATTCAACAGCATTAGCAGCAATGGAAATGTATCCTCGGAAAATACAGCAGAACACTTGCAAATTGTGTCCGCAGTGGGAAGTTTATACCCACACTTGGAGGGGTTAGATGTAACCAATCATGATCAGTCTCATCCTGCCAATTCTGGCAGTAGAATTGATGCTTCAGATCATGCATCTGCATTCATCTCAGTTGGGCAGCTCCATGGAAGTGGATATATGCAAACGTCGCCGTCCACGCCGGTGTCTTCATCCCTTCAGCATATAGTCGGTCCTTCTGTGATATCCCATCAGGTACTGCCAACATATAGGCAAGTTACTATGACTACAGGGGCATCTCATCCTGCAGGGAACCATTCAGCAGGCTCTGAGTCCATTCCTTATACTATGGAATCCTCCCTGCCGGATATTCTACATTCGCACATGGTGCCTCGTATACCGCCTGCACGGCCCAACCAACACAGACATCACCGGAGTAGAAATCGGCGGAATGAAGAGGGATCAAGTGCAGGGAACAGGCATCGGCCGAGGACTCATTCAGACAGGACAGGCAGGCACCAGGTGCCTTCTTCAAGAACTCAGTCTTCTTCTTCATCCCAGACACAGGAGAACTCTTGTAAAGAGCCGTGTGTCAAGTGTGTTGTTACGGTAACATCCTTCCGATGGGTCCTGATTGTTCTATCTGTACTTGGAGTATCGTGTGTTACTGCTGGCATAGTTTTGGCGGCTCTGCATCCAGCAGTGGGCACCAGTCTCCTGTACCTTTCTGTGATGTTTATTGGTGAGTACCTACAAATTATTTGTGTGTGATCCCGTTATATAGGACAGGGATATGCAACTGGCAGCCTGCGGGTCAAATCTGACCCACATAAGCCCAGCAAGTCGTGTTGTGTTACTGATCTTTGCCTGCTGGGGCTGGTGCCTCTAGCCTGTGACGGGCTTCATTTTCCTAACATTTTGGCTCCTGAAAAATTAAATCCTTACCTTCACAGTCGTGGCGACAGCACTAGCCATGCGGCCGTAAATCCCCAGGCTTAAAGACCCCCCCCCCCCCCCCTGCATTCACCGCAAAAGTGGTGAAATATAGGCAGTAATTTACAGTTTTTTTTTGGGGGGGGGGGAGGGGGCTGGGGGGCCCTGGGGTGACTTAGTTGATTGGCCCTGATATAAGATGTTCATCGGCAGGCAGCTAGCCGTTCTGCAGAGAGAGACCGAGCTTATGTGATAAAATCCGGTGCAATAAAGTCTATCCTCTCACCTTTACCTTTTACTTTTATAAGGTGTTCTATAAGTTTTGGGCAAAACTCCTTTTTTTTTTTTTTTTTTTTAAATAAAAAAAAATGTTCACGGCCCCCTAACCCAAGTTCACTATTTGTTTGTAAGAGATCCACACACACACACAAATTCCGGTATCTTCGAATATTTCGCGGCGCCTCTGTGAAGAGGTCGCGGCTCTCCGGAGAGCGGCAGCGCACAGTTTGGGAATCACTTCTCCACGTGACTACTTTGTTTTGAAAACACATTTTGATGTGTATCCTCCACTGTTGAAGAACACGTGTAATCACAGGTGGAGTTATGATTGTAATGACGTGGGTGATGAGTTTATTTCTCCTGTGTATGTAAACTGTCGGGACACACTGGCACAGTTACAAGATGTTTGCCTGGCAACCCAAATGTCTTGAATCCATACAAATATATATATATTTTTATTTTTTTTTAGTTAGTTGCTTGTCCTTTACAGGACCTTGCAGTTTATTATGGACAGACCAGAACAAGTCATTATCCTCCGCCTCCGAACAGGGCACAGCCGATTACGTAACCACATGTACACAAAATTCAAGATAGGCGGATCAGCCATGTGCACCTGTGGGAAGGTGCCCCAGACAGCAGAGTGTGTACTCCAGGACTGCACCGAATTTGAGACATTAAGGCGATCCTTTTGGCCAGAAAGAACAACAGTGGAACGTAAACTCTATAGACCACTGAATGAACTAGCAACGACAGTGAAATTTATACAAGAGACCAAATTGCTGATATAGACAACTTATTTCAGGCGAACGAAAGAAGAAGGACCTTTGCAGCATCAACCCAAGCAATTTTTGTGGTTGTTGCTGTTGCGGTTTTTCTAGACACATTTTGGTTCAGTCACGACCGGCTCCATTTGACTGGCCGTGCTGCCGACGTCACCGGGTCGGGCTAACGACGGGTTAACGCGGCGGTTCTCAAACAAGAAATAAACTATTTTCGATGGGGGGGGGGGGGGGGGGGGGGGGGGGGGGGGGGGCCGGCAACTGAAATTTCAACTTTAAAGTATCTACATGCTTTCTTTAATAATTTCACAATTTTTAGCCGACTTTTCCCGATGATTGCCGTGGCACCACTGGCATACGCTCGCGGCACCCTAGGGTGTCCCGGCACTCAGTTTGAAAACCGCAGCGTTAACGCATCGTTAGCTTGACCCGGTGACGTCAGCAGCACGGCCCCGTCAGCTGGAGCCGGTCGTGGTTCAGTAGTTAACCATTGCCAACTGGACGGCCGGCTGTCGAAACCATCGCAAGGCGATCTGTTGCCAAATCGCATGCAGTTGAAATCGAAGCCTACATCCCGGCATTAGGAAGCGCCTAGGCAACACCTAAACCTCAGACGCCGACGGATCGATGTTTAGGGGGCGTTTTATATTTGACCTTGGTTCCAGTCGACCCAGCCAGAAATGGATACCAGGAAATCTTTTTTGGAAGAAGAGTCAGCCAGCGGGATGTTGACCACATCAACCGACAGGGGAAGAAGATTCGTTTATTTAAAATATGGCAGAGGCACCGGTGACGTGGACAGAATTCTTGCAGTGACTGACATGGATAAACGGTCTGATCTCAGAACTAATGTCAGGTAACCATCGAGCTTCAAGAGCACCAGTAGTTGAAACCTACGGGATGGGTAATGAAGATAGATGGGGTTGAAGACAATCTTAAAACGTCTTCTAGTTGAAGACACAGTAATCAGACAGCAGATTTAAGGATGTTTGAAATTCTGTTTTAAAAAAAAATCATGAAGAAAAAGGTACAACTGGCCGAGTGATTAGAGCACTGGGCTGTCATGCAAGAGCCCCAGATTCGATCTTCGCTTAGGGGTGGTGATTTATTTTTATGCGGAGAGCATAAAAGAAAGAAATCTTATTTGCACAGTGTGTGGCGACTGCATCAGCTATATTGCCTTATGCGGCCTTAAATCTTCAGGCTTATCGACACCCCCCCCCCCCCCCTCTACTATCCTTCACTACCCTGAACGGGGTAAATACAGGCAATGGTGACAGTTATCCGTATTGATCTGATGTGTTTGCAATCTGTGTGTTACCACGTAAGTATCTACACCTTACATTTGCAGAGGAGGACAACACGTCAGTGGGTTTTCTCCAGTGCTGTGACAGTCTTAAAATCAAGAAACATTCCAAATCTAGAACTTTACTGTCGCCATTTCGTTGGTGTTCCAATTAAAAACATTAGGTTTTCATAATGAAAATGTTGATTTTACAACATGGTTGGTGAAATTATCCTACCTCTAACATACCTGTTATTATATTCACTAGTTTCTATGTCAAAGCAATGTTCTAAATAAATACCCCCCCCCTCCCCACACACACACCCTACCGGATACATATACACCACACCCCTGTGTGGATTCCGGGGCCCCATTGTGGGGAAAACAAAAATATACCCACTGCCTCCCCAAAAGCATGTCGTAAGAGTCGACTAATTGGGGAGCTTCCTTTGAAGTCGGAGTGCATCTGCCGGAGAGGCAAGGAACCAACAGTCTGTATTCAAGAGAATGAGATCTGTAAAACTGATGCACACGCAACACTCAGGTTCTGGAGCAGGACTGCAGTTCAGTAGTGGACGACCAACCAGAACTTTCCGCCAGAGTGTACAGCTGGTGAACGCGAAGAAGAAGAAAAAGATATACACCACAATTCTATATGGTGCCTAGCCTTGTCCAGAATAGCACTATAACTTTCAAAGCTCTTTCTTTTTGTAAACCATCGACAGTATTGTTGTTCCGGGATTGATTACGTGACTCGAGGAGCAGTTGTCATCAGACAACAGCCCACTTACGCTGCTGCCAGCTACTTTAATTAATAAGTAAAAGGGGAACTTTCTCAAAACATGTTCATTACTCTTCGTCCTGACGTTTCTTGAAGCCTTTAAAGGAGCATTTAGCACATCCGGTTAGTCCCGTTTCAGGAAGCTATTTGCATATCTTATACAGTAACATTCCTCAACCTTGTTTGTACAAATGGTTCGGGAAAATAGAAGAAATATGTCTCAGAGAGACTGATAAAAGTACAAAGTAAGTAAAGGACCATTTTCCCACGCCCTCAGGCATATAGGGCTAGACCTATATTGATTAGACTGATCGGCATTTAGAGGGTGGTGTGGTTGATCAGCACCGTAGCAGCCGCTTTTACCTCTTAGGACTTGTACCTCGTTCCCACTGAGTGTTGGGTCGACCTGGAAGCCAAGATCATTTTTGAAGGGGAAAAAAACCGCCCAGCTCCTTCAGGACCCGAAGACACAACCTTCTGAACCGCAGGGGAGCGCCTAGTCACTGCACTACCGCGGCTCCTAGATCACTTGACACTTGATACGTAAACACAAGCAAAAGCATTATACCTACTATATCGTGATTGGATAGAAATATTTGACTGACCGCCAGGGAATTTCGGTGATCCGATACCCGTCTGCGGACTACAAGCTTTACATGAAATCAGCAGTTTCAACTTTATAGCAGGCGGGTCACTCCATAGTTGCTCCATTCCCATGCCAACTAAAACCACACTCAGTGTCCATAACTGCCCTTGTGGGCAAAAATGTTGCAGGCTGCAGCCTTAGCAGAACCACCACAACACCCCCCCCCCCCCATTTCCCCCAATGGAGAAGGGATCTAGAGAGTGAAGTTAAAAATATGCGGAGGACATTGGGTGCCCTGCATACAGTAGCGAAGGATAGAACGACTTGGCGTAAGTTGCCTGAGGGTCTAAGCTCCATTTTGGGATAGAGAGGCAGAAAAAGCAGTCTTGGCAAAGCTGACATCGTGCACATACATTGACTGCATAAGGCAATTGTCAGAAGTGCGTACACAAGCAGTCCGAAACTAGAAATGCAGTCAATGGAAGCAGCAGTGACAGCAGGTCAATAGCTGGACTAATTAATAATCCGTCCTATGTGTTTGTGGCTTTTTGTGAATCGAGTCATATAGAGTCTCAGTGGTTTTTAGCGATCTGTTAGGATGACATCTCCTCCTTCTCTCTCTTCATTACCATCCCGGTAGGCACTCGACTCTTCCTAGTAAGTTCAATAGAGGCTACATTTCATTCTTCTTCTTTTTCTTCTTGTTCTTGTTCTTCTTCTTCTTCTTGTTTTTCTTCTGGTTCTTGTTATTCTTGTTCTTGTTCTTCTTCTTCTTGTTCTTCTTCTTGTTCTTGTTCTTCTTCTTCTTCTTCTTCTTCTTTTTCTTCTTCTTCTTCTTCTTCTTCTTCTTCTTCTTCTTCTTCTTCTTCTTCTTCTTCTTCTTCTTCTTCTTCTTCTTCTTCTTCTTCTGGTTCTTCTTCTTGTTCTTCTTCTTCTTCTTGTTCTTCATTTTCTTCTTCTTCTTCTTCATTTTCTTCTTCTTCTTCTTCTTCTTCTTCTTCTTCTTCTTCTTCTTCTTCTTCTTCTTCTTCTTCTTCTTCTTCTTCTTCTTCTTTTTCTTCTTCTTCTTCTTTTCCCTCTTGCGCTGCTGCTATCGTCT